CTGGAGAGCCCAGAGGGTCCTGGGAAGATGGAAGGGCTGGGGAGGCATTTTATTTATTTTGGAGATTTTTCTCTTGGAACAAGTGAAGTAAGTTTTTATTTCCAGGTGCTGACTTGCTGCCTTTTTTGTGCTCTCCTCAAGAATCTTGAGTAGGGGAGAAATTGTTTAAGGCTGGTTCTCTCTCTCTCTTTTTTTTTTTTTTCTTCTTTTAAATATTTAAGTGTTTAAGAAACGCTGGGGTGGAAATGACTTGCAGGAAATAATTGCTGGAAATAGGAAATCTTAGTGGATTTTCCATTTTTCAAGAAATGCACTGAAGTATCGAGTTTCATTACAGTTCTGTGAGTCTTGAGATGAAAGTGTTTCCTGTTAACTTATTTTAACACCTAATTGGTTAATGTTTGTTGTTGTTTCCATTAAATGAAGTTAAAAAATGGTTTATAAAATTCTTTCTACAACTTCCTCTGGTTGTTTCTCTCTTCTGGCTTATGGACTTTGTGCAGTTTTTTCCATTGGTTTTCTGAAGTGAAGTTTCTGCAGGCACGGGCCATGCTGAAGAGCAGAGAAAGGGGCAGGTGAATGTGGAGAGGATGCAGACTACAGCACTGTGGACTCTGGAGTGTTGTAGCCTCCTGACTTTGCTCTTCCTCTCTTCTAGTCACAACAACAAACGTCACCTTAATTAACTGCAAACTCCTGCTCATATGGTCTTACCCAGCTTAAAAAGGTGCTTATTTCTGCCTTGGGTTTATCTTGTTTCTATAGTGTAATAAGCTTAGAGGAAACACTGCTAGCTCCATTGCTGGAAGTGCCTGGGGTGTGGCTACAGCTTCTGCAGTAGCAGTACATTGTACCTGGCGGTAAAAGCAGCTGGGTGTGAGGTTTGTGCTTGAGAGAGGAAGAGTGATCCTACAGTGGCTTGCAGCACCTCTTCTACCTGTTAGGGTACAGATAGTCTTTCAAGGAAGAAGTTGGTTTTAACTCACAATAATACGGTAATTTCATGGTACAGGTTTCTGAAACGCTGGCAGCGAAGGCAGGCTGACCAAATTTTGTGGCTCGCTTTGTTCAGCTCTCACTGAGACCGCTCAACTTGCTTTCCTAAAATAAAGACTTGTTACTCTCCAGTGTGGTGTATCTTCTTGGCTGTGCTGTGACTGCTGGAACAAACCCTTAAGCCTTCCTATGTCACACAGAAAACTAACCCTCTGGTATTACCTGCAGCTGCCTTCTCTGCACTCACGATTACGCAAAGCTTTTGCTGAGCTGCTGGATACTTCTTTAGCATCTGCTCTATCCGGGTTGTTGGCTCAGTATCACTTGTGTTCAAAGCAGACTCTTCTGCCGGGCAGGCTGCTTTAACTCACCCCTGCCAGCTGTCACCAGTGGAGATTCACTGCCTTTACCTATCACTGTGATTTTGTGCATCTAGAGCTCTTTCTCACACCATGCAGGCAGTCAGAGTTGGTCCTTTCTTCACATGCCTGCTTATTCTCATGCAGAGCCTACTTCCCTTTGGGCAATGTGCAAAATAAACAGTTAAATAAAGCATATTCTTTGTGTTGTTATAATTTACTGCAGAATCAATCCCTAAAGGGAGGTAATAATGATGAAATGCTTGGCTGGTGGGCTGATTGGGCCTTACAGCTTGTTCATGCCCATCTGAAGTATTCGACGACTGCAAAGTTAGGCATAATCCTGTCTGGTTTGCAGTCCTCATCTCTGACAGTTTGTCTTCAGAGATGCAATGATGGAACACGGCTTTTAGGCTCTATCTGATAAAACAGTATGTTTTTGTCAGGGTCCACAGCCTATGAGCCAGCTGTTCATACCTTTTGTGAGATGGTGGTGGGAAGCTGATTTCAGTTATCTTTGAAAATAACACGATGGTGATGCTACTGCGGCAGCATTGCTCCTGAGTAGAACCAAGCTCAGGTCTTTGACCACTGAAGGTCATTTTCAGAATCTAAAATATGAAGAAATGGTGGCACTAGAAAGTGCCTGCCAAGCAAATGTTGAGCAGTTCTGTGGGGTGGTGTACACAAAATAAATTTCTGCCTGTGCTCACAGTAACGCTGTGCTGCAGCCACAGGACCACAGCAGGCAGGTTCTACTCCAGCTCAATCTCTCACTGGATACTTAATGCAACATTCAAAGCCTATTTCTTATTTAAATTGCTTGCCGTCCTAATGTGAAAGACATTAAATTTTGGCCTTTGCTTTTAAGCAGATGGATACTCATCATCTACTTGTATAGTCCCTTTTTGTGCCACCATATCTGTTAGGTGCACGAAAAATTTGCATTAGTATTGAGGTAGATCAAAAAATTTTCTTTCCACATGTACTGCAAATAATGTCTTTCTCTGGGAGAAAAAAAACCCACACCACACCAGTCCTTTGCAAATGGTTTATGAGGTAATCACCATCAGGGCTTTTAACAAAAATCTATCCCCCTGCTCCCAGCTGCAGCATCATGTAAGTATATATGGCTTCCAGTTTAGCATGGGTTTAATATTTAAATGTTTCCTGGAAGTTCATTGTTTTATTAAAAAAACCCAAAAAACGCACAGATGAAAAATACCACCCATCCAGAAAGACCACCCTAATTTATGGTAGGTCTAAAAGGTAGTAGGATGATAGATAGGGAGGAAGGTGATCAATTAAGACATTAAGCATTTTGCACCACATGGACGCATCTGCATGCCAGTCAAATAATAAGGCCATCAGCTCATTTTCAGGGGACTGTTGCCTACTTCAACTCAATCCTCAGATCAAAGAGAAAATGTCTGCTTGCATTTTCTGATCAGAAAAGGGATGCTAATTTAGGTTCCTTAATGTGTGGTGGTAAGAGACTTCTTCAATTAACTGAATTCTATAGCTCAGAAAATAAAAAAGGGGGATACAAAGGGAGTCAGGCTGGAAAGGCAGAAGTTCTCATTAAATCAAAGGTCCAATATTCATTACCTTCAGCATCTGGGGCTAAACACTAAACATGGAGATCATCAAAGGGAGTTTAATGGGTTAAATTGAGAATATAATCTAATTAAAATATTAGATGCGAGTAAATAGCTCTTTGATATTCATCTGAAGGTTTCATTAAAATAGGTACTTGAGGTTTGTATTAAGGGGGGATTATCACTTTTAAGCAGAAACAAGAAGTTGAGGTTCCCTAATCAGAAATGCTTCAAAGTCTTACCATTGGGTTTAAAAATAAATGTAGAAATGTAGAAAAGCAGCAACTGGCAGAGCATGGAAACATTTACCCAGCCTGGCTGGATGGATCGTACCACAGGCACACACATTCTGCAGAGAGGGGGCAAATGCAGTTCCCAAAGGCAAGGAGAGAGGAGGCTGAGGCAGGGGAGGGTTCCAGAAGTCACAGTGGACATTTGCAGATGCCCACTGCTCCACTTCAATATGTAAAACGTTTCCCCTGCAACCTGACCCCTACCCCCGACCTTGGAAGACGCTTCTTCCGCTCAGTTTCCCCCAAAGATTCTGTTCGTCACAAACTTCTGCCTGTGAAGTCTGACAGTGGAATTCAGCAGGTGTGGGAGGAAGGAAGGGACAGGGTGCAGAGCGTCCTGCCTCTCAGGCGGGTCAGGAGGGCTTTAAAGGAAAGAACATGTCCTCTTTCCGTGCTGGGGAGATGCAGTACGGTGATCAATTTTTCCCATATCAAGTTGGGAGCCTGACTGGAGATTCTGCAGAGTATTTCAACAACTAACCCACTTTCAGGAGGACTGAGGCATCCTTAGGAGTATGGCATCTAGGTCAAACTCACCCAGGACTCTCCAAAATGAAAGGTTTAAGACTTTTCCAGCAATGCTTGTCATACCTCCAATGCCTTGACTTCCCTGCACGCCTACTGCAAAATTATCTGTCCCGCGAGATGGTCAGCCAATGAAATGTTAACCCAGAAACATGTTAAGCTTTACACATTTCTGTCTTTACCTTTAACAAAAGGTGCATCTAGAAAAAGAGAAAGCCATTGCAAAGATATTCCTTTATTCCCCACCTTATCTTTCAATTGTTAGCCCCCTTCTAGGACACTCAGGACTCCCCCTATTTTTTTCTCTCTCTCCTCCCTTACAAAAGGGGACCTAATAAATCAGATAAAGCAATTACACATAATGACAAGGTTGTTCTGTTTTGGGGGTTTTTTCCGTTTTAACTGTCCACTTTTCTAAGAGATTTTAGTGTTTTCTTCAAAAATCCCTTGCTGTATGTTCTAATCACATTTCATATGTTGACTTAATTCATAGTTCACTAAGTTAAAGAAACCATCATAAGAAACCCATCTGTTTGTTGTTATTTTTATAGATTTAATCTGTTAAAAGCTGTTTCCTCTCAAACATGTAGCTCTCAATTATCCTTAGTTACTCAATATATTTTCCAACTGCTTCTGGCTAATAACAGATTGTCTGCATGATCAGTCAGTACTTGGTTTGAATTTTTTTGTCCCAGATGAAGCTTCAAAATTTTTGTCTTTTCACTAAGAAATAACAGAGTAACATTTGAATAATTAATACTGTATCATTACCAACTGTGATGTACATTTTTGTTCTCTTTCTTACCAGCAATGAATTTTTTTTTGCCTTTAATTCTGGACAGTTTGCCAAAGTCTCCTCTGCACTTCAAAAAGGGAAGCACTGCTGGTTTTAAGATTATCATATGAAACTGATGGTTATTTTTAATGTTTCCTAGGTATGCCCATGTGTTTGACATGTCTAAAAATGATCCAGATGTGACAAGCCAACAGGTGATTAGTCTGAAAGATGCAACTGCCAGATTAGTTGGTTTCAAAGAAAAAGTAACAACATACTTAAAATGCCACATATGCAACTATTTACATTTTAAAAATACTAGAACTGATTCTAAAATTTAACAATGATTAAACTTACGCCACTTTATCTTTCAGTGGAACGGTAAATCAATATGTGATGGTCATAGCTCATAATTAAATAGTTCCGACATTTTTGCTTAATACTTTCAAAATACTTAGAAGATACGAAGAGTTCTGAAAGCAGCTAAAATTTCCTTCTCCTTCTCGTGTCTATTTTGCAAAGGTTCCACGGATGCAATTCGAGGTAAACGGTCTCCATTTAAAGTCTGTGGCAGAACCCTTCCTTCCTTCACCTCTTCAACGGTCTGTGGCAGAACCCTTCCTTCCTTCACCTCTTCAACGGACTGTCTTACTCTGAAAGTCTTCGGTCGAGGAATCTTCTTTGCATAATCCAGCGCCTAAACCCACGAAAACTGGGGTAACTGATCAAGAGAAAACCTGACCAATATTTCCAAGAAAATTTAGGTGCTTCCATGTAGAGTCACATTATATAGTCCTAATTCCCGCTCTTGTTTCTGATAATGTTCAACAACAGATGCTTCAGTGGTGACTGCAAGAAACTTCGCAGTGGTCAAAATAACCCATTTCAAGATTTGCTGACACCACTGCAGGCCACTTTAAATACTGACGCAGCGTTTTGTCTTTAAAAAAGGAAAATCAACATGGGTCTATTAAGTTTATAAGCATTTTTTTTTCTTTCAGTCTCATTAAAGCTCTTGTCCTCAGTCATATCTTACAGCAGGGAGTTCTGCAGGTGAATATGAAGATGGAAACTGAGTGCTCCTACACTAAATTCTAAGGACTTCATGTACTGAAAGGTCTATAATGCTAAAACAAATTTTGAAACGAAGTCTAGGTAATTGTTTCAAATTCTCTGGAAACAGAATCTCTCCCTGAATGTGTTTTAAAGGGTGACTGTTCTTACCTTCTGCCTTAACACTGAAGATACGACCTGGGGCTTTGTAGGTATCCTCTGAACCGAAGCAATGGTTCTCATATTGTATTCCTTAATTTGCTTTGCATATTCCTTTTGCTGCTTTAATTTCTCTTTCTGACAAAAGGAAAAGGTGTATTGTTAATGTCTCACTGGATCCATCGGTGAAATGCCTTTTCCACCAGAGTCTTCCATTTACCCCTCTCTTGCTGTTTATCCTGTCTGTGCCATTGGTCATTCCTCTGCAGAACACATCACACTGTGAAATGGCACAGCTTTTTTAGGTGCTCTTCATTTTTAAGAGCTTTCTTTTGGACTGTTCACTTAGCACAACTGAAAAGCAGATCATATAATAGGAACCACTTACTTTCTCTTTGATTGCTTCATAGTCAGGTCCAAGTCCTCCGAGCTTCACATTCAGATTTATGTAGGCTTTTGAGCTATATGGCTGAAAACCAAACAGCAGTGACAGGTTTTGCTTTATATGATTTCACAGGGAGCACAATTAAAATAAGTCTTGTACTGGACACCCAAGGTAAGAGCAGAATTCAACTTGGAGTCTGCCTTACCTCTGGCGTGTCTCATTTTTAAGGATTGTAAGTGACCAAAAAGATTGAGTTGATTGCACAAGTCAAATTACACTGTATCTCCTTTGAATTCTTGGCAGGTAATTGCCAATCATCCAAATCACAAAGCAATATTTTCTCAGTCAAAAATGATCTATTGCAAGCTTAAAGTGACGCCTTTAATAAGCAGATAAAAGTACCTGATTTTGGTGGTGAAAAAAAAAGAAAGGTAAATGTTATTAGTAACAGTAACCTTTCTTTGTTCTCAAAACTGCAATCAAAAATTGTTCACAGACAGTTGAAAAATACATGCCTCGTAGCACAGCAAAAGCTTTATAAGTATATAAGGAAGACAGAAGATGAGTGATGTGTAGTGCTATTTCAGTACTTCATGACATTACTACAAAGACTCCTATACCTCTAGAATCCTTTAAATCTCTTTCAAGAACACTAGATTAATTTTTAGAAGTGGATTATGTTTTGAAAACTTGTCAGTGGAAACTCATTACAATCAATTCTGTAGTAATCTCAATCACAGAATAACACAGAAACACTAAGAAATTTCTATATGCAAATAAAAGGTGCATTTCTTCAAAGTGCGTGTTCAAGTTAAACTCAACTGCAGAAAAACTAACTCTATGCTTTGGATTTTCTGTTTAATGTTTCTTTGTGTCAGTTATCCCTATTCTTTTGTGATATACTTAGACTTGTCTTTTAATTTAAAGTACTGTGAAGAGTTAATAATTCATCTGTCTAGAATAAAATCAGGGTTTTCTCACTTCATGCGAGGAGTATGACTGCATTTGTTTATTAGGAAAAGCTGGCGTTTTCTGTGAGACATAACCAGTCTTACTTTCTGTGGCATTCCTCACATATGAAGCGTGAGAAAGCTACTGAAAATACAGGACAGAAACAATGGTTTGAACTCAGGGGAACAGAAAGGGAAGGAAATCTGCCCTTCAGTTGCTATCATAATCCAGCTAATTCTTCTTAGAGGCATTCAAGCAGCAATACACAAACTGCCTCCTAGATGAAACACATGAGTAATTATTCCAGCTTAGTTTGTCTGCCCTGAGACTTGGAGCTAACTTCGTAAGCATTTAATTTGTCATGGACACAGGAATATCTCTCTGCTGGTCCACTGCATCTGTGCTAACTGGTTACAGTATGAAACTGGGCACACAGAAAAGCCCCAACCCCCTCAAGTTTTAATAAGGACCAAAATGGGATCATCAGGAGACTTGTAATAATGTTTATGCCGTTAGCTTTACAAATCCTGTAAGTTTGTTGTTGTTCAGTTTGATTCCCTTGGAAACCAAGAGATTTGAGTTGGATAGTAAATGAGCGTGACCAGGATAATGGTTTGCTCAGATCCGAGGCCTGGCTACCTGCTGCTTTATACAAATAGCTTGATTCTAAATCATTTCATCACTGGGTAGCTCAAAGGACAAACACTGCTCTGTGTTCTTAGAGCTAATCAAGGCTGAAAGTGACAGAGGGAGAGGCGCCTTACTCTTTAGACTAAAATGATTTTATGTCTGTTTCCACTTTTGTTCCTTGGTTTTTAATGCTCTGGGCAAGTCAGTGTGCTCTCTATAACCATCAAATACTTCTCAGTTCCACTTACTTTTTAATTTTTTTGGGGTGAAGATCTTTGAATTATTAAGAAAAAAATACTAATCGGAAGGGGACGTAGAAGTGTAAGACCACCTAATCCACTCCTATTTGCTTACCTTCTTGCTGACTTCAGGCTGGTTTTGCTTTTCCATTTGCATGAGATACCCTTCTGAGCTGCTTCGGTTTATTTGCACTCGATTTCCTTCACTGCTCTGGATATCAGTCTCTAAACTACTGTCTGGCTGTGGGCTTATAGGTGAAAGTAGGCGGAACAAGTCCCTGTCAGCTAAATGAGCCTCTGTCAAATGAATGATTTCTTGGTGATGTTGTTCCATCATTTGTGCTTGGCCGTTGGCACTGTCACCTCTTGCCAAAACCTGCACAGTGGCATGGTTGTGTTGCTGCTCGTGTGGAAGTCCATTCAGAGAATCATGATGACATTTCTTGTTCTCCTTGCTGGTATATGCTGGAGATATAGCCTCTGGTGGGTTAAATTTATGTAATGTTGGATGAAAAGGATACGCAGGTGTGGTAAAATCCTGACTAACAAAACGCCTTGAATTTGGGAAATTATTTAAGGAAGTATTTGAATTTGCTGCTTTGTTAGTGTCAGCGCCAACAGAGGGATCTGGATATTTCTGCCATGTGCTGCTGTTGTCTTGCTTCACTGCCTGCACGGGAGCAGACTGGAATTCTGATATTTGGTGGTGCCAAGACTTTGATTCTGCTGATCTTCCTGCTGGTTGTTGGTTATCATTCCCTGGGAAAGCTCTCCTTTTGAGACTCTGGTTGGATCTTAATTTATTTCTCTGGAAGGACTTACTCTGGTGATCCTAAAACAAGTTATCAAAAGTGAGGTGAATTTCAGTGGTTGCTATTTTATGTGTTCATTAAGATCAACAGTATACAAGTGTGTAGGTAAGTCTGCCTTTCACAATGCCTCTCATGTTAAGTATTTCTTCAAATTCTATAAATTAACTGATTAACTCACAGTCAACCATCTGGAGAAACTGTTTCTAAAATCACGTCAGTTCTTGGGTTTTATCTTTTAATGAAAGTAAACTGCATTTCAGAAAAAGATGGCTATGTACCTTATTAGACCAGCTCACAGTAGGAAACAGACTGACGTCAACGATTTAAATAATTTCATTTCTAAACCAAGAACTCCTCTCTGACGTGTATCCTGTAAGAACACTACCCGAATGGCAAACAACAATTTAAGAATTTAAGCACACTAGGACTACTCTCTTGAGCTAAACTGGCATATGTAAAACCTGGAGTTTAAGATTTATCATTTTCCGATTACAGCATCAGGCATCACCTATTTTGAGGAAAAGCATGGCTTTCCTTCTAGGGACTACACGAATCCATTCTCAGTCCATTTAATCTTTGTCAGCGCTAAAATCCTCCATTTCATCCTCCTATCTCTCTAGGGTTCTTTTGTTAGCAACACTTGCAATCACTACATAGCATATGCACTCACAATAACTACTTAATGGTAGGTATTAAATCCACATATAGAGCAGAATGTTTTGGCAAAAGCTTTAGCACTGGGGAATCCTGACTCCTGGTGCCAAGATGATGATTTGTTAGCTCGACCTCTGCTGTAACAATTAATGTTCTGGCATACTGTGCCACTGGTGGAAAGCAGGAACTGCTGCCAAACTGGGACCAGGCCAATGTTTTCCCATTTAAACTGAATGAGCAGCCCTGTAAAAAGCACCTCCTTCATTCTTAAATTCCACATATAAAGCACATCTCTCTCAAAATGAACGGCAGCATAAAATCTTGTTTGTCCTTTAGAGAAGTGCAGCTTCCAGTCTTAAGTGGACAGCAGGGAATTTAAACAGTCTGCCTGAATTATTTCAAATACTTGTAATACAAAAGGAGTAACTAGGTTTGTCAATAATAATTCCAGCTGGTTCTGAAGTTCTTAGTTTTTCATCAGGGATGACTACCTCGTCTCTTTTATTGCTCCAAAGACTATCCATTGCTTTAGTTTGAAAGGCCAGCGCAAGACATGTCTACAGACTTAGGGGTATGGAAGAGGTCACAGCAACTTTTTCTACTTGTAATGTTTTCTATTTTACGGTAACTCCTTGATGTTCATGAGGATTTTAGGGACAAGTAATGCAAGAGTAGTTAAGTTCTAACTCAGAATCCTCATTAACTATCAAACATGGCCACATACTAGTTTGTGCTTTTACATTATTATCAACCAAATAATGTCCTAAATAGATAAGATTCTTTGAGCTCAGATTTTGTGGGCATTTGGGATCTATTTGGTTTAAAATCATTCTGTATATAGACAGCATATACATTACATTTTCGTGATTACCTACTTATATATATATATAAAGATTTACTGTCAGTTAGTGGTACTTTTAAAGTAATGAGATTACAGCTTTAAATATTCAAACTTCAATGCTTTTACATATGTGTTTAAAGTATCGTGTTCTATCGAAAAGGAACCTTGAGCTGCTGTGCTTTCAGGTACCATTTGTCTTCAGGCTCCATTTTCACAGTCTGGAACGGCAGAACACTCTGAACAGGTTCCTCATCAACAGTTTCAGCACCTGTAACCTAAAACCCAAGAATGTTTAATGCCACAGCCCAAACAGATGAAAGGATTTAAAAGTCTTGGAGAAAGAATGAGAAATAATTTGCCTCCTATTAAAGCTAAAAATCTGAGGTTAGGCATTATATAATAGATAACAAAGGAAAGTGAATGGCTAAAAGAGAAAATGAAAAAGGAAGCCAAAAGCCCATGAACAGTGATGTTGGCAGCAGGGAGTACTTATTCTACTTTTAAGAAGAGAGGAAAAGAAAATAGCAGCAAGTATGCAGCACAGAAACCTACTCGTAACTCTCAAGTGTCTAGGCTGCTCCATTTATATGAGAGCCAGTGGAGGTACCTAATAACACAAAAACAACTAGACAATCATCATTGTCCAAGCAATCAGCCAATGTACCAAGATACTGATGGATGACACACACCATAGCAAGGTCTTAGGCAATAGAGTCATGAAGAAAAGGATGGCAAAACACAGAAATGTTGGTAGAAAAAGCACAAAGAGTAGCGGCAGAAATAAAACAGCTAATAGACACAGCCTGGCAAGAACACGAAACAGCTTCTGCAAAATAGCAAGCTCACAAACAAGACGAATGTGGCCGCAGTTGTGGTAGCATGATGGCTGGAAATCAAACTTGAGCAATTCTTCGAGGGGGGCTGCTGGCACTACAGATTTCAAAGCCAAGTGATACCCTCATAAATATAGCAGTAATGGAAATTTTTCGTAAAAGCACCAAGCTTTTTTTCCCCCCAATCTATAAAACTTCAAGAAAAACAATGCTTTTAAAAATTTTTTATTTTTACTTGTGTTGTTCCGTGTTGTTCCAAACCATCCTGCTAATTACTATCACAGGTGTGACCTCAGATCAGGGTGCAGTTACACAGTCTCACTGTGGAGAGTACAGGCAGCTCTGTGCTGGGCTCAGGCTTGCGGCCGAACCTGCGCGCCACTGCAAGGTGACACTGGCTAGCACAGGAGAACTTGCACTGAGAACACACCTGTGACCAAAAGAATTATTAACTGAAAATCATAATGGTGAAGGAAACGGTAAAAGCTTCTGGGGAGCTGAGCCTCTCTCATCTTTGGGGCGAGAGATTAGGACAACTAGGAAAAGGTAGGCAGGTTTCGTTGCTGAGTTTTCAGGTGATCTCATTGCTCCAAAAGGCCGTGCAGACTCTATTAGTCGTGACTAGAAAAGTTCCCAAATTAAAAGTTGCCACACAAGTTTCCCGAACTGTGGATAGATACAGCTTTGCAGCCAGTAAGATGTTTTTGGTAGAACCACTGACTCACTGCACTGCTAGTTTACCGGGCAGGTAAAGCATACTTCTACATTATCTCTTTGAAAGAGGAACAGGACACAACCTCTGCCAGCATTTTTTGTGAACTATTCTATTAATACCAATCAAATTGAGAAAATGATCAAATGAAATTGCATTTTGAGAATCATAAGCTGTGTAATGCCTATTCTGTTAAATTGAGGCCCATAATTGCTTCTCTACTGAAAAGATACAACAAAGACAGCAATCATGGCATGTCATTATCCCAGACTAGAAAACCGGCCTTTGCAGTGAGGACTTCAAAGGCTTGTGGTTCTCGAATTGCATTTGGCTGCTATTGTTGAAGCGCAGGCAATCTTGATTAGGTGTTTACACTAAGGTAAGGCGCAGTGCACAGAGAGTCTGAGTGCCTTGGTCTAGAGCCATTAAAAAATTGTACATTATGTTCCTTGCTTTGAAGTAAGGGGCTTGTAGGTAGGAAAGCAACTCATATTGAGTACAGCTGAGCTAGACTGGGCCACTACTTCTCTCTCTCTTTCTCTCTCTCAAAGAAACTCATCATCAGGTTCTTAAAGAATCAGGCAGCACTGCAAAGAACTTGATGCTTTATAAAATGCTATATAAATTAGTAAACATATAGATCAACACACATGGTGCGTTTTGGTACATGCAGCCTCCTATCTGCATGCACAGAGATAACAGCTTGCAAGAATGAGGCTGCAAGCATTTTACCTAATGAAAAAAGCTCTATGCAAAGTAGTTACTGTGGTATAAATTTTTTCATTTGTACCTGACAGCCAGCAGTGACCACAGCGATAAAAACAGCTTCAACATCCTGCAAAGCTCAGAAGAATCCAGTTTCGGGAAAAACAGTATTCAGATCGTGTTTGATCTCTCCAGCAGAAGACATATGGCTTGTTTGCTTCCTCACATACTTGTTTTTTTCCAGGTGAGGTGACCAAAGTTGGCTCATGGGCCAGCTCTGGTCAACTAGATGCTTGTGCCAGGCCTTCTTGCACCTCCTCCAGGAAGATGGAGCAAGGGATGTCTCCATTAAGAGTGACAGGGGTAAGTACTTCTTCCTATGTTTATCAGCAGCAAATACAAAGGTAGCTGACAGTAGGTGGTGATGCCGTTGTGGCTGTACCAACTTGTGGAGGAAAGAAACACACCTTTCTACATGTATGCTGCCTGGTTCCTGCTATGTCATAGCTTTGCTGTCCTCGCAGCTACTTCAGCAAGGTTATCTTGGAACATAGTCCTGGTTTTAACCTTTTTTTAAAAAAAATTATGTGTCTTTGAATAGTGTTTACACCATGAAGTCTTGATCCCTGGCTCCAATACTTACATATGAAACATTTTCAGAATTCCCCAAATAGTAAACATAATCATATCAACACAGCTTTAATTAGCATCAATCTACACTAATTATTTTTACCATCAACCAAATTACAACTGAAAAAAACAAGTGCTCTTAATAGCTCTGCTAGAAAAAAGCTTGTCCACTGTTATGCTCATTGTAATGTAGTCAGCAGATGCCCTTTAATGTTGTGTCAACTGTTCATTAGCTTTGGAAAATGTGTCACTTAAAGCAGAAAGTCTCTGTAGTTTTGCAAGTTAAGAATTTCCTATGCTGCAACTCATGGAGTGATTCAATGACTCCCACCTTCCCATTATGCATAATAAGTAGCAAGTAAAAGCAACAAACTCATGTATAATCGTTCATTAGGAACTGTAATTACATTTCCACTTAATCCTAATACAAGTTGTCTGACATTTTGCAGTCAATCATAAGAAAGCTAAGCACTTCAAATCCAAGTACTGCACACGGCTGGTATCTGCTGATCTGATTTCAAATGTAAGGTTTGGTCTGGCTGAGAAAGAAAGCAGGGGGAAAGCATTGTCTGACCACCCAAATGGAACACATATTTCATGGGTATTCCTGCATGTGTGGCCCTAAATGACAGTGATAAGCAAGAGCGTGCATGACTCTTGAAACAGTGTGACCACAATGTGTTTTCAGGTTCTTAAACTCAATCGTAACTTCACATACATGTTTTTTATTATGATGAATGTGGGTGTAAAAATACTAATACAGCTTTTTAAGCCAAACTCTGGCATTAAGGTTCTGTACTGCAGCTAAAAATGTGAGCGTTCTGCTATTAGAAGCAATTTGCATTTGCTGCATTGAGCAAGGCTTGGCATATGCTATTAACAGACATAATAATTGCCAAGTTCACATTGGCCAAGCAGAGAAAAATCAGAGACAGCGAAAAAGAACCGCCAGTGGTAAGGTGCAGTGTAGATGCTATAGGAAGGAAGACAGGATTGCTTTAGCAAAAGATTAAAAACCAGTGACAGATCTCCTCTGTGACATGCTTCATGGCCAAAAACATATGTAGCTTAACTAGGCTGGTGACAAAGGCCATCGCTGGGATTGTGAGGACTTGGCAATTATCCCATAAAGGGTGAACAAGATGCTCACTGGAAATCCTAAATTATCAGTTGCATGGTAGATTGTAAATCTTCTCGCCTTCTCTGCAAACCTGATCACGCAGCTATTCCATTTTTAATACTAGACAGTCCTCAGTTTATACCAACTAGCAAACACATGAAAGTTACCTACCTGCTCTTCAAGAACTTCTTGGTTTTTACTGTATAATTGAAGATAGGAATTTATCTTCTCTGAACGTAATCCTAAAGTCCGTTTATTTTTTTCCACAAAGTCTTTTTTTGCTCTTTGTGGTCGATCTTTCTGAGTCCGAAGAGGAGCAGCACTGCCACAGGTAGCGGGACTACCTTTGGCATGACAGCCATGTGCAGGCAGCCCTTCGCTATGTAGCCTGAAAGGTTCGTCGCTGACCACAGCATATGGTTCATGAAAGCTTAGTAACTCTGCACCGAACTCAGAGAATGAATCTTGCAACTTTGACTCCTGTTGATTTTTTTCCTCTGGGGAGCCAGTGGGACGCAAGTAAAATGAATTTTGTGAAAAGTCTGCACTGCTTTCTCCAGCAGCTTGACATGCTTTTTCTGCCTCAGAAAACTCTGCAACCTCTTTTGTGTTCTTCCAGTCAGGATTGTATCTTAGGCTGAAATATTTGTCTACAGACTGCTGCTTCCTGTTTAAAAAAGGAACACAACATTTTTAAAGTATAAATTGTATAAATTCGTTATTATTTCTCTGAACTGTGGCATAGTTAATTTTATTAACACTTCTGTAAATCAGTTGTTCATTATTTCTAAATTATTTACATGCCTATGCCTGTATTTCGAGTGGCTCCTGAAAATAAAATAATCTGTTTCTCTACCAATGCTTTTAATTTCAGGTAAGCATTGGTGCCGTGGTATCCCGTATGCTAGAGGTTAGGTGATTTACACTGGTGAAAACACCACACCGCGGGTAGGCGACCATATTTTGAAATGAGTACAGAAATATGCGATATAATTGCAATGATTCAGATAACAAAGTATAATGCTAAGGAGTTCTATTGTGCTGAAATGTATGCGCGGCAGCTCAGTTGTGTTCTGCAGGCCAGGTCACCGCACGGGAGCAAAATGAGCGTGAAGAGCTCCTTCATCTCTAATCATCTGCAGACAAAAAGTGCACCTTTTATTCCTGCCCCCAACTTGATATAAAGGTTAGATGGACTCTGTACTCATCGACAGAAGTGTTGTATGCAGACAACAGATGCAGCATTTCCTCTTCAAATTCCGAGGTTAGTAATGGATGTAGAGAGGGGGTTTCATATGTATATGCTGTGATATTTGCTCTGGTTAATGGACTGGATTTGAGTACTTACTAGGCTAAGTTCAAACAAAATAAAATTAAATTTCCATTTAATGAAGAGCCTCACATTCAGCATAGTATTCAGTCAAAAAAATTACTAAAAATTAGAGCATGTTTCTAGTACAATTAACATCATTTGCACTCAAAATAAAATATTCAATAACTGGCCATTTTGCCTGCTGAGGAGGTGAATAAAAGTATGCTATTAATCATTTAGCCTTCATTTGATTGCCATTTTATTTTAAGTAGACAATTAAATTGAGACTGCACATTATTATTACTTCAGGTTTAATTTAATCCCTTTAAACTTGAGAATTACTCCCAATTTGTACAGTGTTAAACCTTTTATGCATATGACAGCAAATTAAATTTTATGTACCAAGTTAACATTTTCTAAAGCATGTTTAAAGGAGACAGTAACCCTGGAAATTTTAATTTTAGATTTATACTACATTTATTCAACCCACTAATTTTTGCCTCTAAGGCTTTTTTTTACAGGAAGTGGCCTGGTCTTTCCATCATGAATGAAAGGAGGATGTGTTGGTGCTGGTTCTTGTTTTCCCTTTGGTCTTTTTTCACAGCTCAGCTCCAGAAACCCTCTAGCCCACAGTCTCGGAGCTGCTGCACTATCTGAAGGTCTGGCAGTTACACGACAGTGGTTGTCTCGTGCAGCCAGCAGCCAGCACGTACTGCTAACTACCGTAGTGGGTAAGAGGAAACAGTACATCTCTGCGTGTAACTACGTCTGTAGGTGCTCTTAATAGCACTTTAGCAATATAAATTCCTCTTGAAGAGGTCATACCTATTCTGAGGAACATAAGGTTTTAAAGCATCAGGACTATTCTACTCATCTACTAGAATTCTATACCTTACCTTCCTTTGCCATCATTCTTTTGTATTTCATTTGTATATTGATTTGCATCATACTCGGCTCCTTGTTCTTTTAAACTCATCTCCTCCAAGCTATCTTCTTCTAGGCTGTCATTCTCCAACTCATCAGAATACAGTTCTACCAGCTCTTCGTTTTCACGAATCCGCTTCTGATACTGTGTCTCCTGAACAAGGCTTTCAGAGTCCAACTCTTGGGAGCTGAGCAGGCTTAAGCAAAGGGGGCTTTCTCTCACAGACGGCCTTTTCCAATTCGCAGGGTGGAAATCTGGCTGCAGGAGTACATGCTGAGGAACATGTTTTATACTCATGTTGCAAGTGTGCGGAGAAGAAACTGAAACATACTTTGTGCCTGAAGCATTCATTCTGTGATTTGCACTGATGGTATACACCAGCCCTGTATTTGGGAAACATGAGAGCAAACATGAAAAGCTTGTTCACTTTATAATAAGGATCATATTTGTTAAGAGCTGCAGTTGTGGGTAGTATCATCAGCTTAGGCTCAGAATTTGAGCTTCTACAATTGAAACAATTCTTTACCCTCATTGGCTACACTGATTTTTCTTTAAGCAGTTAATACCAAGGTCCCTTTACAGCAAATGCATGACTTATTGCTTTGAAACCTACCTTAAACTATTAGTGGTAATGAAGCTAACAATGTATAAACAGCTCATGAAATAGAAAATGAGGCTAAGACAAAGCAACAAAATGTTATCTGTTGAGAGGTAAAAGAAATTGTGTATGTTCTCTTTATTCCGCTTTATACCTTTTCGACACATAAGCTGCCCGCAAGGATGTCTGCGTGACAGAGAGAGCACGGCGACAAGCACTGGGACACTTCTCGTCTTAGGATGAGAGTTTCTCCTCCTTTGATTGCATTTAAAGGTTTCAAAGTCACTTGCACCACCAGATACTCACGGGTACAGTGTCTGGGAGGAAAGAAAAGGCCATGTTTTGTGAAGTGCACACGGTGTGACCAGTCCCTTTAACGGTGCGCAGCGGGTTTCGCTTTGGTACTGGGAGACCGTTAAGGTATGTAAATGCAAAATCTGTAATTTTTCAGGGTTAGCACTGCTTGTCGCACGTGAGTTTACCCTCGGGGCGGCTTTTTACACCCGGGCGGACACCTGTACCCCCTGCTCCGGCGGCTGATAGGAGGCGGCGCAGGCCGCAGAGCCCGGCCCGGCACTTCCGCCGGGCGCTG